AACGCATCTCGTCTTCGTCGGTGCAGGTGGTGTCGCATGTCGAGCCCAACCGCGGGTCGGCTGTGCAGTCGTTCCTCGTCATCCTGTCCAAGATCCGATCGGTTGACGGCACCGTGGAGGCACCTCTTGCTATGTCCGGCTCGTCCGCCATGCTGTCTAGTGTGTCTGAAGCCAACCTGACCGACCGCAAAGAGATGGTGGTCCCGACAATGCATGGACATCCAAACGATCTGGTGTATGTGATCGATGGCCTGGAACGCGGCACCACGTACAAGGTGCGTGTGCAAGCAAGCAACGGCGGTGGCGACTCGGCACTCAGCGACCTCAGTGACGAGATCGACATTGGTAAGCCACTTGAGCTCGTCTCGCATCACCTCGCCTTTTGAGTGTTGAGCCACTGACGCCGGGCTTCGTGGTGGATGCAGACGTGCTTGTGCCGGCACCCGGCGATCTGAATGTGGAGATTCTGTCCAGCAGCTCAATACGCGCTTCGCTGCCCGATATTATGCATGTTGAGAAGCCCGTGATCAAGGGATACAAGCTCGCTTGGGCCAGCGATGGTGACATGGTCGCCATTTGTGGCGCCACACCGCTGATTCCTCCCGGCACTGCCGAGTTTATTGTAGATAGCCTGCCCGAAGGTTTGTTGTTTGGAGTCGGCTTGGTAGTTGTATTGATCGGCTGGAGGACTCTGATGGGCGTGACATCTCGACAGGCCAATCGTACTACTTTGCTGTCTGCTTGGTCGGCGAGCATGAGGAAGGCGTTTTTTCGCCATCCATCTTTGTTCCCCTTGCAGGTACGCATGGTTTGCTGAATCAGCCGATGCTGATGCATAAGAGTGCTCGTGTGCACAGCGACGCATCTCTGACATGTCCTCGTCACGCTTGCCAGCTGCCTTTGCGTTGCCACCATCGCCAGCACCCACGCCCATGCCAGACGACATGTCAGGCTCCGACGGCGATCTGTCGTCTTCGGGCGGGCTGTACCGCTCGCTGTCCAAGGGCTCCAACCTGTCCATCACGCAGCGCGTCTCGAACATGCATCACGGCATGCCAGCGTACCACGACCCGCCGGTTGAAGACACACCGCTGTCGCCGCGCTCGTCGTTGCTGATCTCGCCCAGACGATCGTATGATGTGAACGCGCATGACGATGGATCGGGCGGTGCTGGACATCGTGACGGCGGCGGCGGTCGTCGTGGCGGTGGCCGTGGTGGCGGCGGTAACGGCGGAATGGCAGCAGGTGGTGCAGGTGCGCGGCCGCCAGCAGGGCCAGCGAGCAAGTTGCGTGGCGGGCGATCCATCACCAATCTCCACGGCGCTGGCAGTGCTGCCCCGGGCGGCAGCGATCTGGCCAAGGCGTCCAAGGGCGGACTTGTGCGCAGCTCGACGAATCTGGCCTCGCAGCAGCTGGCGAGCGGCAAGCACAAGGTAGCGGCCGTCGCACGTTGAAGGCGAATGAATGTTTGATCTCTCTCCCTCTTGCTGCCCAAATGTCGACGCACAACCTGTTCCTGCTGCGGCATGTCATGACGGGCAAGGTGCTCGTCAGTCCCCGACTGCGCCTCGACGTAAGTAGCTGCCGCATGGCTGCCACCGGGTGCACACGCACAGCGGCACACATGCGCACATGCGCACATGCACGCACTGACTGCCTTGAACGCTGCACCGTCGACGCCGTCTGCAACAAACCAACCGCAGTCCGTTCTGCTCAACCAAATCGGCGAGCACCGTCCGCAGAACAAGGTGCGGCCCGACCACTGGGTGCCGTTCCTGGCCGTCACAGGGTTCAAGCGTCCAGAGACGGTTGCGTCTCTGCAGGCGGCCATTGCCCCACCGCACAAGTTCTTTGGCCCCAAGACCCGCTGGCCGCTGCCCGAGGCCAACCGCAACGACGGCTGGAAGATCCCCGACATGGTCAAGGAGCGCACCATTGCCCTCTGCAGAGCTCTCGAGACGTCTGATGCAGTGCGTGCCGACGTGCACGGATCCAGCGCATCTCAGCAAGCACAGGACGGATTGGCAGCAGCAGCAACAGCAGACACAAACGCAGCTGCAGCAGACGCAGCCGCATTGGATGCACCGACTGCGCTCACAATGTGGTGGGAGCGCGACGAGTTTCGGTACCTGGTGGACGAGGCAGACATCTTCTGGCCAGAGTTTGTGGCACACGAGAAGATGACGCTTGCGCGTGGCCGGTACCCTGTCTGGCCCGAGGGCTCGGGCGTCAACGAGGTTGTCTATGATCCGGCTGCTGCGCGCGTCCACAAGAGCAAGCAACACGCATGACGGAATGCTGGTAGTTGGAATAAAGCCACTCTATAAAACAGTTTTCAGGAACCGGACTCGCTTGCTTCATTGGGCATTTTAGGGATATGGTGTTTGGATGGAGTGGACGATCAGGGACAGAGGCACTGAAGCGATGCGTTCACTTGTCGAGATAAGTCTCCTTGATGCCGCCCTTTTCGAACTTGCGGTTCACGGCGTACAGCTTCAGGTTGCGGTCTTGCGGCACGGAGAGCCATGGGTAGGGGTTCTCATGCTTGTGGTTCACGACCAGGAACGGGTCATTCAGCGCGTTGCGCTGTGCGGCAGAAGCAGAGAGGAAAGACAGAGGCGCGTGTTAGAAGGCGCAGCCTTTGGAGTGCCTCGATTGGAAACTGGACGGCAGCGCTTACCGTGATGAGGAAGCCGCCATAGGCGACACCGACGGACACGGACGCTGCGAGGATAGCGTAGTTAGGGCGGCTCTTGATGTACGCAAAGAGACTGCAGCATTGAGCGGACGGCATGCATAAAAGGATAGGCAAGTGTTTTTCAGCAACAGCATCAACAGCAGCAGTGGCAGCAATGGAGCAAGAAAGCCAAAATGCAGACGTACGGCATGCTGTCGGAACAGACTGGGTGCGGATAGGAGAGTGAAGTGCAGTGCTAGGTTACTTCCGGGTGAGGAGAAGATGCCCGTCGACAAGGTGGCGGGAAGCGTCTGATTTATAGACGAAGCCACTTACCCAACATTCATGCACACGTTGCCGGGCGAAAAGCAATCGCATTAATCCGCTCCCACCCCCACATCCTACGCTGCTGTTCCTGTCCCAAGCCCGCAGAAGCGGATGCTGGTGATGTTGGACCCAGCATCACCACCGCGAACCAGCTCGCAAGGGACGCGCAATCCCATCTGCGATGGATCTGTGCATCTCGATCCGCTTTCGTATCGAGCCAACGAGCTTCAAAAGCGGACAGAACATGCCACTGAGCTCACCGAAGATCTCTCTCGCATCTCTGAAGAGCTAGACAGTCTCAAAGTGAGTGGCCTGACTTGTGTGCGTTGGCGTATGAAGGCCGAGCGTTGTTGCTGACTGTATGCATTGCAGTCTCGCATGGATGATCTTGGCAGCGGCATGACAGACTCGAAGCCGCTGGTTGCGATCAAGCAAGGACTCGCAAGACTCAAGACGGAGATCAAGCAGATGGACCTGCGCATTGGCGTCATCCAGCACACACTGCTGCACGCCAAGGTCAGTGTGTGTAGTCAGCAGCGTGCCTTGATTGCCCTTCGACTGACCTGCCCATCGAATGCAACGCTGCAACGGCGTCTGCGTGCGCCACGATCCCTTGGATGCAGCTCAAGAACAAGGGACCCATGAGCATGCTCGACTCGCCCACGTTCTCCATCCAGATCCTGTCCGTGTACGACTCGCGCTTCTAGCACGTTTGCCAGCGACCGCAATAAAGGAGGGCTGTGTGTGTGTGGCACGGCCTCCCTTTGGTGCGTCCTCTGCGTCGTTGCGACCCCTCGCGATCACTGCCTTGCGATGTGCCACAGGAGGCGACCCTCAGGCGACCCTGAGGCAACCACCATGAGGCGACCTCTTCGAGTGCTCAAAGCCAAAATTCATGCAAGGCCACCACGGCACGTGAGCAGCACACCGTGTGGCACCACCCCAACAAGCTTTTCGTTGCGCTGCGTGTCGGAGCTCAAAAGGAACACGCTGCGCACGCTCCTCCTGCTCAAGCCAGCCAACAGTCGCTTGTCTTTGCACCTGTCCTTTCCCTCCCAGCCAACAACTCGCCCTCTGCATCCTCATCTCGTCTCTGTCAATATGGGGTGCGTCCACTGCTCTGCCTGCAGGCTCGTGTGAGGCTGCTGCTCGCTGTCGCGCACGCCTGCCGCGTGTGTGGCACTCACTCACTCACACGCACTCGCTGCTGTCCCGCTCGCTCGCTCCAGTTTCTTCGCTCACGTCAAAAAGCCGTACCTGACCATCCTTGCCAGCGGCGTCGTCCTCGGTGTCGGCGGTGGTGCCCTCCTCATTGTCGTGAGTCCACTCTTCTCTGCTTGCTGCTCTCTCCTGTTGTCCAGATCTGCTGGCTGCCTGCCTGGCTGCCTGCCTGGATCTGCTCATTTGTCCGTCACACGACCATCCGACTGACCCTTGCCATCCCGTCCGTGTCCTGTCCGCTTGCTTCTCCAGCGCAACCTGCGCACCGACCCCACGTTTGCTCTGTACAACAAGCGCACCAACCCCTACCCGTGGCTCTCGGTTCCCCAGGACCAGAACCTCAAGCTGTACTCTGTCAACCAGAAGGTAGGATGCATCCACGCTTTGTTGCCCATCCTGCCATCGCATCCGACTGACACGGCACGGATCGGCTGGTTGGACCGAATGTCCGCCACCACACATGCAGTTCGAGACTGGCGTGCGGGAAACGTACATCAAGTAAGCAGCGTGTCCCACTCCTGTCCATCCATCCATCCGTCCATCCGTCAGCAAGTCCATCCGAGATCCGACCGTGAAATGAAGAGCGTCTCTTGACGCAGTATATCCCCACAAACGCATCCACTTGTTCTGGTTTCTGCTGATCGACCATGCTGCGACCCAAGAGACCGGAGAGAGACCTGGAGAGACGCAGAGAGACGCAAAAAGCAAGGCGCAATGCACCAGACATGCGACATCAGGCTTGTGGCGGGCAAAATGGCAGCAAGGCAAAAAGAAGCGTCAAGAGCAGGATTTGAACCTACGCCTCCAGAGGAGACTGCATTTCGAGTGCAGCGCCTTAACCACTCGGCCATCTTGACTTCTTGTTCATGTTACGGGCTCAGCCGCCTAGCTCGGTGGATCGCCTCCAGGGGGATGCGCCTCTCGATGTCTCAGGATTGGACATGAGACTCGGCCATTCGGCCGAGGGGCGCAACCCACAGTTGGGGCGCGCCTAGACGCCACAAGTTGTTTTGGGCTGTTGCCTCATGTCGAGTGTGTTAGGCCGCGTACTTAAAGTGTGCCTTGCCCTGCGTGCAGTCGGCTCTAAGCGTATCTGACCGACTGCACAGGTTCGGCCTTGAATGCTACCACATGTGTGTAATGAAGCGTATCTGACCGACTGCACAGACTTGGCCCGCTACATTCACAGAATACCCCAAATGCTACATATACTTTGTCTACTCAAACAGGCGATTTCACTGCACAACCTGTCTTGACGCTGATGTCGCATCTCGTATCGCACCAATGAATGGCAGATGAGTGGCATACAAGTGTCCTGTCTCTCGCAAGGCGCAACCCACCAGTTATCGTCCTGCATTCAGCGCTTGGCTCCATCATCGAGGCTGTTGTGCCACGTTGCTGCCACGTCACTGCCACGCCATCGAGTCTGCTGATTGGCCGCCGTGTGCACATATAAAGCGACAACGGTGCACCGCTCTCTTGCTCACGCAACCAGCAGCAACCAGCAGCAGCAATGTCAAAGGCCGCCAGTGACGTTCCCGCTCCCACCGCTTCTGGCTCGCGCTCTGAGCAGCAGCAGCAGCAGTCGTTTGTCTGGTTCGCTCCGTCGTCGCTCCACCTGGACCTTGTCGACGATGCTGTGAGTGCCACTGCTTCTGCCTGCGTGCCAGCCACGCTCTGTCTGGCCGACTGACACCAGATCCATCGCATGTGCACGCCTGCAGACCACAACCGTCGCCCTTGTCAGAGCGCCTGCCTCGGACATGGCCAAGCCGTGTGTGCGTCTGACATACTCGGCCTCGGTCAAGTCGGCCACAGCGTCGTTCACGGCCACGCCAACAGACTCGTTTGCAGACGGCACTGCGTCGTTCAGCCTGCGCACCGCTCTCACCAGCGCACCGTCGTCGTCGTCCTCGTTCTTTGGCTCCCTCTTCGGCATCGGCCAGTCGACCCCCAGCGTCAACGTCACCGTCACGGTCGAGATCCCCGACGCCTGCCAGTCGGGCCTCAACCTCGTCCTGTCTGGATCCCAAAGGACCAAGTTCGACATCAAGGACGACTTCTTGCACCCCTTTGGCGATGTCGACGTGGCGTTCACATCCACCCCCAAGACGGCCAGCATCAAGGTCTCGCTGTCAGGCACCAGCACCGAGTACAGATCTACAAAGTACAACTTCATGGCTGGCTCGCTGTCCACCCGCTCGTTCAAGGTCACGGGCACTTCCGAGGACGTCTGCTTGGGCGACCTGAATGCTGCCGAGAGCGTCACGTTCATGGGCACGTCGGGCGACATCAAGTGCGGCAACATCACGGCCGGCGGTGATCGTGGCGTCGTCATCCAGCGGTCCTCGGGCGATGCCCAGATCAACGGCGTCCACGCCACGCTTGTGTCGTTCCGCTCGTCGTCTGGCGACCTGACGCTGATGGGTCCTGTGGGCGGCGCGGCCGTCGTCAAGATCGAGTGTGCTTCGGGCGACGTCGAGTCTCGCGACATCATCCTGGCTGGCTCGCTGTCTGTCCACACATCGTCGGGCAACATCAAGCTCGACACGGTGTCTTGCGACTCTGTGACGTTCAACACGACATCGGGCAGCATCACCACCAAGAAGGTCGAGGCACATGACAAGTTCAACATGCACACCTCGTCTGGAACCATCCGTGCTGGCGACCTCGTGGCTGGCGACGACATTGACGTGAAGACGTCGTCTGGCGACATCCGGCTGAACGATGTCACGTCGCGCGGCAATGTCACACTGCTGTCCACCTCGGGCGATGTGGAGACGGCGACCGTGTGGGCACGATCGTTCACCAGCAGCTCTCGTCTGGCGACTGCAGGCTTTCAGGCATTAATGCAGTCGACCGTGTGGACATTGAGCGTTCGTCTGGCACGTGGCTGCACAGATCAGCTTTGTCGGCGTTGAGGAGACTGCGGGCGAGCGTGCTGCCAGCATCCGCACGACATCAGGCGACATTCGAGGCGTCTCTGTCAGCCACTACAGGTCATTGAAGTCAAGATCCAGCAGTGGCGATGCCGAGCTTCGTCTTGCGCCACTCGTCGGATCCACAACCACAGTCACGACAACATCGGGCAACATCGCGGCCAAGGTCGCGTCTGGATACAACGGCATGGTCAAGGCCGACTCGCTCAGCGGCTCGTGCAGTGTGCTCAGGGCCGGCATCGCTGTCAGCAGCGGCCCCACCATCGAGTCTGCCATTGGCGAGTACAACGAGAACACGAGCACAACCATGATGGACCTTTCTGCATCGTCTGGCAAGGTCACTGTCGACTTTGCTTGAATGCCCTGTGCCATGTATGCGTGCCACGCCTTGTTGGACAGTAAACCATGTACATCGATCAACCCATTCGTGGTGATGCCAGAGTGCATCTCATTCAGCTGTAACAGAGTCATAAAAGCAGTCGTGCTTTATCTGCTCGACAGTGTTGAAATCATCAACCAAGCCGGCCCTTATGGCCCTTGAGACTCCGCCCCCAACTCCGACGCGTCCTCAGCAGGACACTGAGCTTGACCCGTGCATGCTTAAAAGGGCGAGCTTCCCCCTCTGCTCTTGTATATCATCGAGCAGCCTTATCGCTACGTCCGCATCACCCATGGCCAACCCTTCGCCGTCGCAGCCGCCACCATCCCTTGACACCCAATGTGCAGCCATAACAGCTCTTCTGTCGGCGCTCAACGTCTCATACACGCCGTCGGCACCAGCACCGCCAACACCACCTGCGCCCCCGCTTCCCTCGTCCGTGCCAGCCGGCGCAGGCCCAAACACCACTGCAACCATCAGCTCAAACTCTCTTGCCGCCGGTCTATCGAGCAGCCAGCTGGCCAAGAGGCAGATGCCGCCTGTGACGGGCAACTGCTGCTACGGTGCAGCAGGTCCGACTGATGCTGGATTGTATCCTTTGACGGGCGAGGTGGACGGCAACGGCGCCTTTGTGGGCTGTCGACTGTCGTCCGGCGGCCAGCCGTACATATCTGCCATGTAAGCGACGAAAGGCTTGTCTGTCTGTGCGTTGCCCGGCGGCCATTCATCCTTGCCACACGCGGCACCGACTGACTTGAGTGGTGCCACACTTTGAACGGCGCGTCACGATGCATGAATCCACAACACGATCACAGCCAAATATCTCAGACGGCTGGAACAGGATGCCAGGCCCTCGCATGGCCAAACCTGGCTTCGTTTCCATTTATTACATCGCTGTAAGCACCCGCTGCACACCCTTGCCACTCATGCACATGCACATCACTCACCTTGACTCTACAGATCGATCACCGGCTGCAACATGGGTACACTGACCATCCCGTGGTCGAAAATGTCTCTGCAGACGCCATTTCTCCGGTCGCTACGCTGCGATACAACTACATCAATGATATCATTGCACCCGAGATTTCGGCTCTTCAGTCGCTGACCGCCGTGTAAGGAAGCCTTGCCTATCCACATGCCATTCATTGCTCTCTGTCTCTGACGCTGCTCTGTGTAGAAACCTGAGCAACAACTACATTCGCGGTGATATCCCTCCCGCTTTGACGGCCATGCGCCTCACCGTGCTTGACCTCAGCAACAATATCCTCACGGGCTCAATCCCGCCGTCCATTTCCACCATGGCCACGCTGCAGAGTCTCAACCTGGTCGGCAACTCCTTGACGGGAATCGCGCCAGAGACGGTCGGCCTGAGTCTGTCCAGCTGTGCGCTGCCTACAACGGTCTGCTACCGCAACATCACGACGGTCAACCAAGCGTGTGGTGTGACGCGCATGTCGCCCTGTCCAGGTACGCTAACCACAGCACAAGCGACCTTGCACACTCATGTGACTGACTGCCGTGCTGCAGATGCCAATGCGCCATCTGGCGGCATGAAACCGCGCGAGGACTTTGCCAAGAACACCAGCGGATCGGGTCTTCCCAACTCGACTGTCGCAGCCATCATTGGCGGCACGGTCGGCTCGTTCATGATGCTCCTCCTTGGTGTGGCGTTGTTTGTGTATCTGCGCATGCGCAACGCGGAGCCCGAGGACGACGATGATGCTGGAGGCGACCGTTATCCTTCATCGACAGCATCCAAGAAAGTGTCGACCTTTGCGCGCCGTGTTGTAGTTGTGCTTCGCGGACAGCAAGGCACAAGCAGCGACACGACGAGCGGAAAGCAAGGTCTTCCGGGTCTTACACGCGCGAACCAGCAAGACGGCGGTGGTGCTTGGCGTCAGTTGGACGACATGGATGACACTGTGGTTAGGCCAAGCACAGCGTTGCCAGCCGGCATGAGCGGCAGCTCTGGAACTGCCTCTGACTCGACTGTGTTTGTGGTTGACAGCACGGACATGGTGCCGCTTCAGTCGATTCCAACGTACCGCCGCGATTCGCAATGATCAACTTCATCTCCTTATAAAGCCACCAGCTTGGGTCTCAACAGGACATGGCGAAAGATCTATGTATTGAGGGTTGAGAAAAACATAAAAGAACAGCCTGGCCTACTAAACAAAGAGGAGAGAGGTGGCAACCGCAGAGCCGGCAATGACCAGGAAAGTGAGCACAAAGTTGCCGCCCGTCACATGAGCACGAACAGCGGTGTTGGCCTTATCGGTCGGAGTACCGGCTGGGATGACGATCGTACGCGGAGCCATAGAAGACGTGGCTGATCCCGTCGACGTCGCCGTGGCCGTTGATGACAGAGTAGTCATTGGGGTAGACGACTCATTTGCCAGAGTGGCGTTGGCAACGTTGAGCAGAAGCGCACGGAACGACTGCGCGGCACTGATGGACGTGGTGGCGCCGCTGGGGTCTGTGCCGTTGATGGCCTGCTCCTGGATGGTGAGGAACAGAGCGAGAGGGAAGCCAGCCGGGC